GTTAAACCACGGCAGGGCTTTGTGCAACCAGCCCCACGGGGCGTTTGCCACCATCCCTGAGTCAGTATAGAGACACAGCGCTGGCCACTCTTTTTGTTCAGCAGTATCTAAAGCCAGCTGGATGGCTTTCACTTCTGCAAACTGACTCAATTCACCTTTTCCTTCAGCAGTTTCTGCGACTTGTCGTATAGGACTCCATATTTCCTCATCATTGTTAAGCTCTAATTCCTAAGAAAATTCTCATTTGAAAGTCTTGGGAGTAAAACAAGCTTCCAGAATATTCACATTTACTTACCTGCCGGAAAATCATGCAGGACTACAGCATGAGGTGCACTTGTGTCAGAAACTTTTGGAGGGTGGTTTGAATCCTGAGAACAAATAAATCCAAGTTATTTATAAATCATGGAAGATACTAACAGAGATTCTCTGTTATGTACTGTGAAAGTAATTTTCTGACTTTGGACACAATGTTGTTCAGGTATCAGAGAATCACCTTGGGAGGCAACGGTGAGTATTGGTCACACAGCTATGGGTCTGAATTCTGTATGCCTTTCGCCCGTGTAAACCAGAATGTATTTCACCAAAACCTACTTTTGAGCCAGTAAAAGGAAGGGAAGGCATGTAACTTTTCCCAGTATAGACAAAGCCTCAGCTATCTCTGTGGGTCAGAAATCTGGAGCAGTGATAGCAACTCTCATTGCCCGGGCTGTGGCCAAATCTTGCACCGCTGCTCAGTGCTGCGTGCCCCCAGTTACTCTTCCTTGGTCGGAGAGAAGACCCCAGCCCAGCTCTCCCCAGCACACGCGGCAGGGGCAGCACATCTGCCGGCTGCCACGTACTGTAGAGGGGCGAGCAAGCTGCTAGGCTTTTGCTTACAGGAAGGTATTACTGAGGGGAAATGACAATTTTGCTGTGGGATCTTTATAAAGGGAAATTATATTCAAAATGCTGAGCCTCCTTCTCTATCCCACCCACAAGGAATTTTTGGACTGTACTGATGACAATCTCTGTGTATGAATTACATTCAAAGTAATTCATTGTGTACAAAAACACCCAACCAAAAAAGCCCAACATGAACAACGATAAGGCCAGAATAATATGAATTACAACAGATAACAACAGATTGCATTGAAATCTATTTCAGCCATGTAGGTTTCTGATAACAATCAAAAAGGCTGCTCATAGCTATAAGTTATACTAGCTATTTAATATTAATACAGTCATGCCCTAAAAACAGGTTAGGTTCTGTGGAAGCAGAGGAAAATGCTTTGAAGTCTGTATGTCAAAGCCAATTCACTGATATATCATGTACAGCACTTTGTAAAACTACTCGCTTATCTTTTGCCCATGTTTTAGGGGAGTGATTATCTTCCTATGAGACAGAGGAACTTCACCAGTTTCCTCTCCCTTCTGGCACTCCAAGTAATTGCTGTTGCTCTGCTCCATAAGCAGGCTGTCCTTGTGCTATAAGGCAAATCACCATTATTGGGTTTTGTTTGGGTGGTTGTTTTGCTTTTATTAAAGAAACACAAGGATTTAATAAACACTATTACATTTCTCAGTGTGACCTTTAAAGCCTAAAGCAGTTGATACTTCAACGCCAACAGGAGTCTTGCTC